GATGAGTTGTTGGAAAGTGTGTTTGAGGTGTTATTTTTAAGTTGTGTTAAAGCCTATAATACTGCAACATTAATTAAATAATTTTAAACAACAAAATTATTAATTATAAGGAAAGTTTTAAATGTGAAATCTCTAAGTTAGATCCATTGTTGGACGTTGTTGCCATATGGCAACATATCATAAAGTACCTTAAAAAGTAATCTTTTACAACTTTTTTTACAGCACTTCAAGTTAAGCCAATTTAAGAAAATCAACAAAAAAAACAGTCAAATATTTTTGAAAAGATACTGTATATCATAATGCGTGCGGTAGAGGATTATTCTACACAGTGGCAAAAGTTTAACAATTTTGAAATATGACCGTGCAGCGTGTGTATGAGGAACAGCTGATGGTGGCTATAGCAAAGACACACAGAAGAGGATCATGAGTTCAGAAACGCATTTAAATCGGTAAAGGAAGAAGCACACGTCCCGTTTAAATGTGGACACAATATGTGAACAGCCTCATGAAAGTTTAACCTGAGAGATACAGTACAAGTACTGATCTATAATAGATAAGTGATTACAACCCACGCTGGGCATTACAACCTATAACACACAATTGAACATATTCTGCAAACTACAGAAAATAAGGCAACAATTTTAAATCACACTTACTGTACATGTTATGATCTGGAGGAAGAAGAAACTGGAACAAATCCAGCATTGCAGCGCAGGTTATTGTATTAATCATTAGAAAAAACAGGAACAAACAGCACTAGGTTGACTATAATGTAGTATTGTTGTGAAAATGAACTTTAACCCTTTATTCACGGCAGCCGAATCTCCATCTATCAGTGATCGGCATCTTCGCGTCATGTTGTTGGCATTATCTCCTTGCTTTAATATACATTTCACCTGTCGTCTTTACTGTTGCATTTTACATTGCATTTTTCCAAAATACGTTATTAAACAGTATTCATATGAGGTAGTTGCAAGGACAGACAAAAATGTGGTTTAATGGACTTTTAAACTTACTTATCCATAATTCAGCACAATTAACAAAGGCACACTTGGACACTAATGTGCCACAGCTTCAAGTTAGATTTTGATGGATTACCACACAAACACATTCATAAAACAGGTGAGACTGTCAGTGCATTAAGACACTCTCACTACATCTTTGTCCCTCAGGCTATTGCTAGCAGCGGGACGCACCAGGCTACGGAGGAAGCACAGCCGCGGCCATTAATCATTCCAGCACCATGACCTGGAAAGCCAGTGACCCTTGTCACTTTGCTCCAAGGTCCAGTGCTCAAACTACCTGCCCAATGGTGATTTACAAGCCATACAGTGTCCCGATACAGGCTTCCAATGCAGGCTCAATGTCGGCTAAGAAAACAGCAGCTGTCAAACGGATTTTTTTTTTTTACATTGAGAGCTGTAAAGCCGTCCTCCCCGAAGTGTCCAGCTTGATTTGCTCATGCTCCGCTTCAATTAAACAATCACATCAAGGCAGACTGACTGAAGACATGGAGGGCACTCTATCCGCCCAAACAACCGATCACAACACAGGAATCAATTAGCGTAGCGCTAACGAGACAATTTCGCACGCTGAAAGAAAAGACTCGGTGGCTAAAATGGAGCTTTTAATCTACCGTTTCGTAAGGCTTGATGAAAACCTTTCAGAAAGAAGATGAATAAATTCATTTTGGATTACCGGTGCTTGGATGCATGACTAACTGTGTGATTAGGATCATATTTCATAAGAACTCGTAGGCCTTTCTGAGAAACAGTGCTCCAGCACAGAGAGAGACTTCAGAGGAGTTTAGCGAAACTGTACTTCAATTTACTAAATTACACAGCTCTAAAACACAACGTTCAATGTTTCATACCTTTAATATGAGCCAATTCAAACATTATAGAGGAAATCGTAAAGGAAATCTTTGATGTCAGTAATATTTTGTTAAGGTTTCAGATACTCAACCGAAGCTGCATCTAATTTGGAGCTCAAGAAAAGATCTTAAACCCTTTTATTCATTATTAAATATGACTTATTATTATCAATATTTTAGACAGTTGTGCTGCTTAATATTGTTGTGGAAATCCCAACCCATGCTCATTCTAAAAACGTAGTCCCGTGGACGTTTCTGGAGACCGGGAAATACGTCCTGGGATTGTTCAGACCATACCAGTCAATACGCCCACAATAATAAGTTATGCTACCCCCTGTACACATTGTGATGCAAGAGCAACAAATGAATCTTATTTATTTGGATTTTCTGTTTGATTAAATTAAACAACAGAGGTGTCATTTTAAAAATGCACATCTAACGTTATAATGAAAGCATTCGATTGCTTGCCTAACTTTTTATGCTCATTTAGGACAAAATTAGTTGTGTTTGAAAAAAAAAAAAAACACCAAGATCAACATCTTTAGATGTTTTTATTATTAATTATGTGTATATGTCTGTTCAAACACGCATCCAAAACCCAGAATTTCGCTCCGCTTCAAATCGCATGTACAGAATGCATTTGGGAAACAGCGTCTATTTATCACTAATATGAGATTGCATAGGAGGGGCGACAGCACCTGTAATGAAAAGGAAAGGGAATCCTGCTGTTTTTATATTTATTTCAAAGTGTTTTCATGCCTAAATAAAACAAAAGCACAGAACTGACTCACACTTAAGGGCAAGGGGTGTCCCCTGGTGGTTCAGCGGTAGGGGTTGCGTATGGGTACAATCAGTTTTTTAATGTTTATTGCCACCCTTCAGAGAAAAACTGAAAAAATGGGAGAAATACGGGAAAATGCCTTTACGGGATGATAGCGGTATAAAAATGTAAAATACGGGAGAATTCCAGAAAAAATGGAATGGTTGACACAGGTATGGTTTAGATAAAACGGAATATAATTAGTAATTTTCTGTGCAGCCTGATACCGCTCCGTGGCCCGGTGGTTAAGGACCACTGATCTAAACGATTCAGAAAAACTTTACTATATACTCAGAGAGAATGAAATGACTTGTCTAACCTGGCTGCAAAATATATGAACACCATTAGTGGTTCATCAACATATTTGCCTTTTTTAAATAATCAACACGTTTTAGTATTGTAATTATGATATTTTTAGAGATATTGTCTGTTTTTATTTCCTTTTCTGTTATTTATTTCTCTTTTGCTGATCCTTGTATTAATTTGATGATGTTAAAATATTACATAGGCTAATTTATTTAAATATCTAAAATGACTTGGCATTCAAATTTGCGTTAAACTTAAGAGAGAGAGAAGCAAATTTAATTTAACCTTTCAGTGTGGAGTCTGTACACATGGCTCCGTAACAGAAATGGTGGATTTCTTTTTTTCAATTTTAACCCATTGAAAAGAAACAGTGAATAATAGTGTCATAATAAGTAATATTATTGTAAAAAATTCAATTATGTTTTTTTTCCTCGCATATAGTTAACTATTTATGCGACTAGGGATGCAATGATTATAGATTTTGCTTGTACGATTATAGTCTAAGAAATTATCTCGGTTTCACGATTATTATGCATACATTAATTTCTAAACACCACTAGTTGAGAAAATCACATGAAAACTCCTTATATTTTACAGTGTTGTTTATTGTCGCTCAGTAACTAATTAATACAGCACAAATTAATATTAAATTCAAACAATAGTCCATTTCTCTCTGTGCAAAAAAAAGTTTATTTTTTTTAATTTAAACAGTTTTACACAGTAAATAAATGACAAAACAATGAATAAATAATTAAAAAAATAGTACTTGTCTAATGCGGTGCTTTAAATGAAATTCTTTACTTGGTAGCACCGTTGCTCTCAAAAGTTTAGTAGCACCATAATAAGTATTGTATATTAACAGATTTATTGTATTTGAAAACAACATCAATCAGGACTAACAAAAAAACAAAAACAACAAACTAATTCTGTTATAACTTATTGATATTTGTGCAATGATTGCAAAATATATGTCTGATAATTATAAAATATTATAATGACGATGACAATAATAATAATACTAACCATGAATAACATAATCATGCTGCCTTGAATGTGCTTGAATGGGAGTTACCTGCTATAAAAAGTTCAACTTTCATTATGAAAAATAGATCTACTGTTTGCATCAAACAAAAAGTAAGCATTGCAGTAAGAAATATACATTTTGCACTTTTGCTTTTATATGCATGTCAATATAATAACCAGAAAGACCGGACAAAAGAAAGGAAAGGAAGAAAAGTCTCACCTCTGCCACTCTTTAAAGGTTTTGTTTTCGGTTTTTGTATTTGTAACTTTAAATGGGGTTTCAAACCTGTGTACTTTTCATTGCTTCTTACTGAAACTTCAGCCGTTTGCAGTTTCCGCGGTCACAAAAGCCCCCATCTCAACTAGTGCGCCTAAAAAGTGTGAGTGCGTTGCGTCGCGTGCGCATCCCTCCATTGGAAATAATGAACTTGCACAAGCTTGCCTTGGTTAACGTCAATATCCTTAGTCATAGTTAATCCAATGTGCATGGTTATTAGCCTCAGTGTACAAACTAGCGCACAGCTGGCATAACTTTGCTTAGTTGCCACAGTTTTGATCCGTGCAGAAACACGGTGTTGAGAAGCCTATACTATTATTTAACCGTGACGAATTAAAGCGATGGTAATAGTGAAACCGGTTAATCGTTGCATCCCTATATGTGACGTAGGTAAATAGTGTGTTTCAATCCGGCTACCACCGCAAGTACATTTCAAACCTGTGGAAAGCACTGAAGTAAGATGTCTTGGGCAAAAAGAAAAAAAGTTTGAGCACAGCTTACATCATTTCACATCTCATATCTCACTCTTTTCTTTTACTTTATCTAATATCAAATCAACAAATAGAGATAAAAGACAAAACAAAACGAAAATGAGTTGGAAGACACCATTAGATTGTCCCGGCTTTAGCATGAGGTTTAGCAAATCTAAAAATCAAGTATCACACATTGTCTGGCTTTTGTGCGAGATGCATTTAACCCACCTTTTTAAAGTTGCTCTGCTTGCTGGTGCCTTTCTCCGTGTTCTCATTATGGAGGATGTCTAGAGGCGTTTCTCGCTCCTTTAGCTTTAATGACTCAATCTCAGTCTTCAGTTCATTCAGTTGCTCCTGAAGGTGTTTGCTCTTCTCCATGTACTCAACCCTGCCAAACAGGACAGACGCATTGTGTAACAAAGCTGCTCTCTTGGTCTCCATCTGCTTTAAGGCCTTTTCGCAACAGTTTTGTCACCTCTCTGTTTTTTTGTGTGTAACGACATTGGCTAATTCTAAAACTACAGGGTCTGTAGGAGTTATACTTGTTGTAAAGATGCATTCATTCAATTAAAACTCAGCAGGAAAGGTGGCATTGTGGAATTCAATCAAAACTGAAAACAAATGACTCTAGTTATTAATATTAATACATGTAAAAAATAACTCTCTGTACTAGAGCTGCACAATATTTGAAAAAAAAAAACGGACATTTGCAATATTTAGTTTTTTTTCTTTTCTGCAATATATATTCCGATATGAAAATAATTATAAAAGATGACTCAATTTGGAAAGAATTGCTCTTTTTATATTGATTGACATATGCATAAAATATACAAAATTATGCAAAATAAAACCAAGATCAAAATGAAATATACAAAACTCTTTGGTTTTCAGTTGGACTTCAACAGCATTGAATAATAGAAATTCAGTAATAAAAAGTAAAGTAACACTGAATAGAATTTATTCTATTGCATGAAATAATTAAACAATCTTCATTAAAGCGACAAACTTTATAACTTCTTGCGCCCAAATGGTTTAAATTCACTTGGAATCTACAGTCACAGGCCTTAAAAACACATTAAAAATAAAAGGCTTTCATATTATTAGATTAAAGTTAATCTTTGCAACGACTGCACAAATCGAATGTTCTGAACTGTGTTTTCTGGTTAATTTTAATCCCAGTTTGACATTGCAGATCCAACAATGTGACTTTTGCAGATTCGCACATTGCGATTTCGATGCTGAAACAATATATTGTGCCGTACTCTGTACCTTGTGTTTTAAGGTGTCTTTGTTTTAAATTTTTTATTTAGTAATTTAGCTACTTAAGTAATTAAAACTACGGTAACAAATTAGTTATAATAATACTATAAGTAATAGTTCACACCATTTACAACTAGCTTATTGGCTGTCTATTGATTAAATATTAACTCTTTATTAGCACTTATACAGTATGATCTTATTTTAAATTCCTAATCCCACCTAAACCCAACTACAACCTTACTAACTATTAATAAGCAGAACATTAGCAATTTATTGAGCTAAAAGTCTTATTTAATGGTTTGTTTAAAGTGTGTATTGAAATAAATTAAGTCTGACCTAAATTATTTATGAATAATATAACAATAAAATATCTCTGTAACACTTTATTTTAGGTGCCTTTATTTCACATCTTTAATATACTTACTATAGTAATTCAAATAAATTATGAATAATTTCATGCAACTAACCATAATGTTGAGTTCAGACTGCATAAATTTAAAGTAGTGGTTTCACAGATGTTTTCACACTGCATGACTATCTGGGGTAGCATTCTGCCAGGGCTGTGTTTACACTGCAGGATGGATCAGTGACAGTGGGTTTCACACTGCATGACTGTACAATAGAAAAACTTTGTCTCAGTCCACAAACTACTTCCCTCACAACCAAAAAACAGACAATCTGGTCGATCTCATTAACCTATCACAACTGTTGGTTCACAAGTTTACAAGCAGAGGACACATAAGAACTAAAATCTTTTTACATATTAAAACTGACTGTTCTGTGTTTTTAACAATATTGCAAGTTCATTAAATCTTGTCTGGAAAAATTAGGGAAATAAAAAAAACAAAAAAACATTTTTTTTTTTTACTTGAATATTTAATGATTTAACTTTTTGTAATATACATATTGTAATAAGCAGTAGTTTATGGACCAATTTTATTTTAATAAAGAAGTAATGGATTTATAGGTGTGCATTTTAACTCCTTATGCATCAAATGTACACTTTAAACTTCATTGAAACATGTTGAATTCTTCCATGATTTGCAATGTTTCCAAATTGATTTATAAGTGATTTTTGTCAATTTTTAAATCTATTTTTATTTATTTTTATATAATTTTTTAAAATATATTTTATGTATTTGTCCTGTAAAGTTGCTTCTGACCATGAAACACTTAATGGTCAAGCATCTTATGTATCTCAAGTATCATACTTGGACTGAAAATATGCTTTTAAATACATTGTTTATGTAAGTAAATACATTAATTACATTAGTAATTATAGTTATGTATTATTGCCACTTCTGATCAATTTAACGCATTACTTCTAAACAAAAAAAATTAATTTAAATTAAGACTTATACTGTATTAGGCCAAAGTGGAAGAAAGTTTTATGGCTTAAAAAACCAAAGTTGAGCATAAGCAGAGAGGACAAACTGGGGCTCAGTTGATGTAACTGGTTCAAAAGGTGTGGACAGATGGATGTGCCGGCAGCAGAGAGACTGTGATCAAGACGGACTGATGCCTGAAATGGCCTGCACTCACTTTTCCTTCTCGATCTCCATGGACAGACGTTTCATGTCTGTGTCTTTGAAGTCAAAACTCAGGTTCTCCATGCTGAAGTTGAAGTTAGGACCATCGGCAGGAAGAGAGTTGGCAGACAACGGCACAGGCTGGGCAAGGAAACAGAAAAAGAGTAAAGAAAAACAAGCTTTAGTGAAGCGAACGGGATATTTCAATATCAAAAGATATATGTACACACTGTGATTAAAGCAACACCAACAAGCAAATATAATAAAACTAAATATATATATATATTTATATAAATTAACGTCCACAAGAGAAAGTGATTTAACAAATATTTCAGGATTAAAACACTGACGCAATATCAACAAAAGTAGGAGTGCTACAAGACTCTCAGTATAATATTGTACAATCAAAAACACAAAGGGTGATTTGTTGCTATTTTCAAACCAGCGCAAGAGTAATTTTATAGTTTTGCACCACATTGTGTAAATATCAAATCAATTTGCGCCACTTTGTGGACTGGGTGTGGGTGTGCTGGGTGTGTGTGTGTGCTGGTCTAAACAGGAGGTGATTTAAGGCACATTGTTGGCACGTTGCTGTTGACCAACCAAAAACAGGTCTAAAGTCCAGCGCAGAGCTTGTTAATTATGCACCTATGCAGATCCAAACAGGTACACATTGCTTACTACACACAGGATGTACAGCAATACACAAATATCTTTACACATGAAAAAAATTAAAGGATTAACATGTTACAATAATTATTGTTTTCTACATAAATATAAAAACCACTGCCTCCATGCCTTCTTTATGTCGAGGGAGTTGTTTTCAGTATATTTATGACAATCAGCATTTCTATATTGTTATTATCAGTAGTAGTATGATTTATTATATGTATATTATATTTGTTTTAATAAAAACTAGTTTAGATTTCTCCACCTGTGGGGTTTTGAGACGTATGCATCACCATGTGGGGCATAAGAACAGGAGGTGTATTTGGATATAACTCTTTTTGACCACACTTTGTTATTATTGTTCATTTATTTGTTTGCTGGAAATTAGTACTGAATTTAGAAATAGTTTTGAAACAAATCTTTGTGCTTAACAAAATAAATAAAATATGTAGGCTGATGGATGTCTTCAGTGGAGTGTACACAACACCGTTTCCTTACTCCACAAAAGTAAAGGAGTAAAAGTAAAGAGAAAGTAAAGAGGCCGAATGGAAGAGGCTCGTTCTTTATCCTTGCGCTGCAGATGGTCTGTTTAACTTTTTTTGCTAGTGAAGTCTTCAGTTTTTCCACTAACTATTTCTGCCATGTAAATAGCAAATGCGCCATGGTGCGATGCAACTGACTCTTAAAGGGAATGTAAGGTGACACTCTAATTTAGACTCTGGTTTAATGCACGTTTTGCTCAAAACACACCCATGACTTAAGAAAATAAGCTCAACACTGTTAGACCATGCGCAGTGGCGCAGAGTGTATTTCTTCATCCTCAAAATACCAAAACTGGATTTGGACAGCCCTAAATGCTTTTGCGCCAAACTTTGATCCTAGATCGCTAAAATAAAGCCCTTAATACCCATATTTACAGCACTGACTTCAAACAAACAAACAAACAAACAAAAAACTAACATAATTACTAATCTTTACATTTAAAACTCTTTAAATTTGCATACCATCACATCATCTTACTTCTATAATGTTACTTATTTCAAAGTAAAAATGACATTAAGGTAAACAAATACTTAAAAAAGGTTGCATTGCTTACAAGATTATCCTAAAACATTCCCTTAAATTTGACCATAAACTCATCCCATAAAATCTGTCTTTTCTCTGTACTTTAGGGACTAGCAGAAAAAAACAAGAAATGTATTAAAAATGCAAACTAGGTGCATTTAGATTTCGTGATTAAGTATGTGAAACAAACTACAGAATCAGACTGTTCAGTAAATAATCAAAGAATTTATACAGCTTCAAATAGCTGCTTTATTTGCCTGGGGCTGAATGACTTATCTAAACTAGATATAAGTCAATCTCAGGTTTGCCTTTGCCTTAGCTACATTTTTTTCAATAGACCAAAGGAAGCTTTAGGGTAAACACACACATACACACACATATACATGCAATGAAAAACACTTAAAAATTCTCTGTGAGACATCAATACCCTCAATACCCACAGATGACTGCAACGCTTTGAAATGCCTCCTGGATTTTGAAGTGGTTGAACAGATCTAATATTAGCCACCCATAGAGAGAGCTAATGTTTAAAATGCTACGCTGACCTCCAGTCACCCTCTTAACTCACTGTGCATGTAAAAAGTGCAGATGAGCCGCCCATGGGATTTTCAAGAGTATTCACAATGCTTTCAAAGAGCGGAAGAGCTCAGTTCCCAAGTGCTAAGGCCAATAATTAGGATCCTCTTCATAATAACACTGACATTTGTATTGTAAGTAAAAAAAAGTCCTCTCAGTATACATTAATGAAGAGAAGAAGAAAAAAACATTTACCTCTCAATTATATCTATTATCCATATACAAGGCTTGGGACAGTCCCTTTACAAATCATGCATTTGAATCAGATTCTGATTGCACTCAGTCACCATGCGTATTTGGATCTAGTAGATTTTCACACTGCATTTAAATGCAAGTTCTTTAAAAAGCCAAACATTGTGAAAAGCATTGATTGCAACCCTTATTAAGAATTTAATATTCCTTCTTGATCGCACCATTTGAATGTTTGTATAGTATACAATTTTTATGTATTTTAATTGTAATTTTGAAATCTAAAAATTATGATTTTTTTCACAATAACAAGACATTTCTGGCCAAAATCACATTGATTTGTACATCCCAAGCACCACTATTCAAATATATCATTGAATAAAAATTTGGATATACTTAGCTGCATAATATGAGTTTAGTATGGAAATTACATTGTTTGGTGTTGAATATTGTTTCCTCGCTCTCACAAAAATCTTATAAGAGTAAAATACTGTTGAAATGCAGGCCAATCGGAACAAAACACAGACTCTAACAATCCACAAGGTATCATTAATATGATCCCACAGCCATATCACCCAGCCCAGCCCAGCCCAGCCCAAGTGTTTTGTTACAAGATTAAACTTTAGAATGCAAAGACTGTGCACTAAACATTCAGGTAAGGGTAAGTAGCCCTCTCCTAAAACAACAGAAAAACAATAATTTTGTATTAAATGTAAGATTCACTAAGCTTATACTGAAATCAATTTTAATGAAAATGCAAGCACGGTCCATATATAGTCTCTCCGCCTCTCCATAATAACACTGAGATTAATATTCCAGTTTGGAAATAAATCCTCTCTAGGAATATTTGTGCAGAAAAAACTAATTTTCTCTCCTCATTTACATCTATTATCCATATACACAAGACTTAGGACTGTCCCTCAATAGTTGTGCATTTTAATCAGATGAAGTGCACTCAGTCATCATGTGTATTCAAATCTAGAGGACGGTCACACAGCATTTCAATGGAGGTTTTCAAGTTCTTTAAATAGCCAGACATTCTGAACCCATTTGTAATCCAATTCCAAAAAGCATTACAAGAGACCCTTGAGGCTTGTCTAACCATTTTTTTTTAAGTCGGACAGCTTAATAAGAATATAAATATTCCTTCTCGATTGCATTAGGGTGGTTACATGCGAGGCTAAAAGTCTGTCGAAGGTTTTCCCTGAAAAGTTTTCTTGCGAGTAATGGAATGCTTGTCTGATGCAACTTTTGCTTAAATAAATTATCCTGACATTGACAAATGGCCAAGGGGCTAAATCAGACTAGCGTTAAAAACAGGGCACACTTTTTTTTTTCTTATGGAGATAAATTTGGAATGGCTTCGGACTCCAGGCTGATGAAGAATGACAAGTGTTGATGCGATGTCGTTTGTGGAAAGCGCCGCAGGTGAGTGTTATTGGTAAGGCACGGGTGATTACCGAATATTCCGTTTTGCTGGTGATCTCCAGTAGTTTGTTTTTGGCTCTGCGCTCCGATTCTCTGGCCTCCTGCAGGTCCTGTTTCAGCTGGTCGGCCTCTTTGGCCCTGCGGAGGATGAGAAACATGGGTTTACTCACTCAAGGTTTGAGCCCTTTGAAGTGGACACAGTACTGGGATCTCGGAAGCATAAATTGGGCTGGAAATGGAAAAAAATGGATGCTCAGATCAGCAGAAAATTGAGTCGTTCACTGGCACCGAATCGAATGGCTATCCCAGCATGCACACCAATAGAGTGCCACATACCAAGTAAAGAGCTAGTATATGGGTTTGAGAAGAGCCACTGGCAACGATCCAGCTGCGAGAGGCAGATCAGAGCTTTCTGTGATGATGCATGTCCACATACTGAGTTCAGAGCCACTCTATAAGAGATGATGGTTAATTATAAAGTAGATGTTGCTTGAATTTTTGCCCAAGCATTTTAACTAAATGGTTAAATATAGGAATAAATGAATAACTGGCAAACTGACTAAATAAAAAAAACATACAAATAAATAAACAATTGTAATGGCATTAGCCACAAGCTGCGTCCCACATGACACCTTATACACTATGCACTTACACACTCAAGAGCATATTATATGTATGTAGTGTCGTCCCAAATGGAACCTTGATGTTTTTTACTAAGCGGAAATTTAAACCATTACCAAGATGATGTTTAACGGTTGCCAAGTTAGTGAAATAAATGACTAAACAATGCCATTTGTATTACCACATTAAGCATTGGGAGGTGCTATAATCACTTCTGTAGGACAATAATGTATTCACAATCCAAAATGAAAATAATCCAACATCAGTGCGTGAAAGCTCTGCCCCTTCTGCTACGTGAGCAAAGCTGCAGTCGTTGAGTGCGTGAAGTGTCCATCATTCCACACTTCATTTTACAAGTTAAATAAGTTTATCATCTGGGTAATTAAATTGCACTTATTATTTTTTGGAGTTTTCAGTGTAAACGCACTATTTACAGTATTTATACTACAAAATGGTGTAGAATAGTGCAGAAGTGTGGGATTTGGGACTCACCTAGTGTCATGATGCTAGAATCGGATGGGATAAAGTTTGTCCACGAGAAGAAATTTGTCTTGGGCAAAAAGGTGCTACAACATTGCTCTAAGCAGACAATAAAATAAATAAAACAAACAAAACAATTAAGAACAAACAATTAAGAAATGCATTGTGTACAAAAATAAGGCCGTATATAAATATGAAATATATAAAACACAGAACACAGTCAGGTTCTAATGAACTACAGGTGCAGTGTTTTTGGTTATGTTTAACAGTTTTATTGAGGTAGGAACAAACGAAAGCTTCAGTCTATTTTTCCTGATGGTAAGAGCTGATATTCTCTGAAAAGAGGATGTTTGGAATCAGCACTAATATTTATGGCTCTTCTCATGACCGCCTGTTCATATAGAGGGTGTTTGGGCTTGTAGTGTTATATTCCTATGATTTTCCTGGCAGTTTTTTAAATTTGAATCAATTTATTTTTCAATTGAACAGACAGATTTCCAAACCAGACTGTGATTCCATAGTGAATAAGACTCTCAAACATAGCTTGGTAAAAAAAACAAGCAAGATATTGCTAGCCACCACCACATAGAATGCTAATATACTTTTCTGTGACGATATTTCTTTCTATTTACTCTTTTTATAGGTTTATTATAGTATAATTTCTATAGTATTAAATATTTGTAGATAGTATTAGACTTTTTACAAGGTCCTACCGCTTTCATAAACAGCAGATTTAAGGACTTTTAAGGACTTTCAGCATACAGTTCAAGTTAGAATGATTAGCCCCCCTTTGATTTTTGTGTCCCTTTTAAATATTTCCCAAATCATGTTTAACAGAGCAAGGACATTTTCATAGTATTTGTGATAATTTTTTTTTCTTCTGGACAAAGTCTTATTTGTTTTATTTCGGCTAGGATTAAAGCAGTTTTCATTTTTTTAAAAACAATTTTAACTTCAATATTAAGTTTATATTATTATAAATTATTATTATATTATAAATATATTATATTAAGTTTATAAGTCAATATTAAATATTAAGCCTTTAAATGTCACTTTAAGCTGTATAGAAGTGTCTTGAAAAATATCTAGTCAAATAGTATTTATTGTCATCATGGCAAAAATAAAATAAATCAGATATTAGAAATGAGTCTTTAAAACTATTCACAGAAATGTGTTGAAAAAAATCTATCGGTTAAACAGAAATAGAGGGGGAAAATAATTCTGACTTCAACTGTATGTAACGCCATGAAAGTCCTTACTTTACTTAACATTAAACTTACACTTAATATTTACATTTAACAAAGGCAATTACAAAATAACTGACTATTTCAAAAGGTTTCATTCAAACAACTTTAATAAAAATGTGTTTATTTGACAATCAAGTACAATTGTTGAAATTAAACCATGAACAAATTAAATTTCAAATGTAATTCAGCACTTTCAAGGACCTAAGTTTGTTTTTAAGTACTTTCCAGGGGTCCGTTCTTCAAATGTGGATTACTCAGTTAGCTGAATTTGGTTATTGACGATTTGACATGATCCACCATCGTTTCGTTCTTCAAAACTCATTCAAAACCATTTCCTATGAATTTTATGTAATTTTGCTCATATGAATAATTAAATTGTAACAAATATGGCCGACCAGACACATAATTATTTTGCTTTTTATTCCACAACCAAGCCAACTTGGCCCAGAGAAGACTCGAAACCTGATTCCAAGGTATTTACGACCCAAAAGGAATGTGCCATGCAGCATTGAACACAGGAACGGGTCGGGACTCTAAGCTGCTTGTCTAAGACTGATGTTTTTATATAAACTTTACTCTCTTTAAGCTTAATCATGTGTTTTGCAATGTTTCCCTTGCTCCTGTATCAATATCTTAGTTTCAATTTCTCTGTACACAATGTCTGACTCCACCAAAGCCAAACAAACTCATAAGTGGTTCAAGTTTGGACTTTTGGACGAAAAGCTCACTTGCTGTACTAATTGATCGTTGACATTTTATTTTAATACGAGTGCAACATATTAACGTTTTAAGAGACTTTAACATTTCTGTCCCGATTTGCATAAAATTTGCCTATGCAAACTCTTCTGCCTCGGACAAAGAGCCGTAAAATTATTATTCCAGGAAGTTAGCTTCTAATTGGTCAACTTTCCATAGGGGGTGGATCCGAACCTGCCCTATAAAGCTTAGGACCAAGCTCTTCGCACCCCCTTTGTTCAACCTCTCTCACTCTCGGCTCAAAAGAAGCAACTCTTTCTCTCTCTCTCCCGGGTCCAAAGCAACCCCCCTCTCTGCTCTGAAACACGCTGTTTTGAACTTTCTTCAAACTCTCTGCAACTTCCTCAGAGACCCAGACGGAAAGGATTAATCGCACCGCGCTCGGACATTACATATTCCAGAATCTTTTTGCTGCTTCAGCTTGAAACACCGACACCCGCACTACCCTCGTGAGAGCAAAGGATCAGCCAGCCGACCACGTGCTCAACAATGGGAGCTTGGACATCATGAACAGACCGCAAGTTTCTCCCAACATCTAAACTGGTGTGAACTATATTACCCTAAAGCGACAACAGAAGGTTTATATTGAATTTGATTACGTTTGGTTTGCTTGGTTTGTGCTTACAAACTCCGAGGTTTTCCCATCATTACATCCTCTCAACCTCTTCACGTTTGTTACTCTTCCCTATGCTTGTATGAATGTGTGTTTGTGTTAGGTGTTAGTTTTTGTTAGAGTAGTCAATAAAGTTTAATTTTGTATAAAGAAAGGTGCCTGTGTATATTAATGAATCTAATGTCTTAAACTTTGATCTTGCTACCCTGCTCAAACTTTATGGGTTTTTGGACGATTCGTTTGTTCGGATCTAAAGAGTCGATTCATTTGAAGCCCCGTTCAAATGAATCTTCCTCCTGTTAAGCTAGTCCGCTATATAATGGTCCAGAAGGTACGCGAGCCTTGACATCTAAATCATAACTCGCAACATTATAACGGCGGGAAAGGCGCGGGAAGAATAACCTTGAGCTAATTTACTACAGTAATAATGGTATAGGTATGCGAGCACTTTAATCTACATTATAACTTGTTACGGATTATTGATGTAGATATGCGTGCAAGTTAATCTACATTATTATTATAATTTGCTACATGTTTATTTGTGGAGAATAAACAAAGCATTAAATATGTAATTTTTGCAAATATTAATCAGATGATGTCATTATGCTGCTGTGCCAGGATCGATAGATCTGTCCTTTACAACACACGCAGCAATCTCAGATCAGTTCATTCAGACATTTAATCTGATTCGTGAACTTGTTTGAAGAACCAAATTAGCGAGAGATCAGTTTTCAAGATTAAAAGATCCAGGATCCGCCAAATCATCTTAGATAATTTAAGGTACGAAGAACGGACCCCAGGCCTTGAATCCATGTGTCTAAAATTCAAGTACTTTTAAGTACTTTTAAAAAGGGTGGAAACTGTTTTTATATTTTTTATCTTGGTATCTTTATTTTATTAGTTATTCGCTTGTATTTATTAGTAACTTTATTTTATTATTATTTTCTTTATATTTTACTTTTTTTATCTAATTTACTTTTTCATTTTCAATAAATTTATTTTGATTAATTAGTTGACAAGTTCAAGTTTCATTAATTATTAATGATTATTAAATTACAAATACATATAAAATACAGTATGAATTTAGATTATTATTATTAGAATTATTGTCACTTAAAAATAAAAACAAATTAATTGTTAATCTTTACAGCTTTCTTCTTCAATATATTTATTTTAATGAATTAGTTAACAGTTTCAAGTTTCATTAATTTTAAAGGTTTTATTCATTCACTCATTTATTCATTCATTAATTTTCTATCCGTTTAGTCCCTTTATTCATCATGCAAACACGCGGAAAACATGCAAACTCCACACACAAATGCCAACTGACACAGCTGAGGCTTAAACCAGCAATGTTCTTGCTGTGAGGCGACAGTGCTATCCACTGAGCCACCATGTCATCCCCAATTGAAAGTATTGATAGACATTAATATATTTATACGTACTAATATACATATAAATATAAAAATATAATTCATTATTTTGAATTAATTTCACTTAAAATACTACAAATCAATTGCTAATCTTTAGAGCTTTCATTTCAAATTTTCTTGTCATTTACTATCAATTTATATATATACATACGTATATATATATATATATATATATATATATATATATATATATATATATATATATATATATGTATGTATATATATATATATACACACACACACACACACACACACACACACACACACATATATATATATATATATATATACACACACACACACACACACACACACACGTATGTATTTTTTTAATCACTTAACATTTATTTATTTCGAAATAAAAAAGTTAAGAAGTTAGTTAAGAATAATGACCTCGGTTTTAATGAACAAGAATACCACAGTTTCTGCCACAATTGCATGTTTAAACCCTGCCTCAACAAGCACCACTAATTAAATCCAAGAGATTTTATTGTTGAAAAAAAGAATTTGACAGTTGCAAAATAGCACCTATTTGCCTATTCATAAGATTGCAGTGAAGAAAATAACAAACAAAGCTTAAATAAGGGGAAAAGTATGTATGTAACTAAATATTAAATGTCATTTAAAATACCATGTCAAGCAGGAATCTTAAATAAATAAATAATATACAAACGTAAACAAATTTGCTGGTACCCTTAATTTTTGTCTAGGTCCGTTTCATTAGTTTGCCTTTTTTAATAAATCTGTTGAACCTGTCACGGTCACCAACGATCCAGCCTGTGAAGATCGCTTGTATTCACATGGATCGCTAACAGACTACAAATCCACCCTTTTATGGACTACAAGATCCAGTCATAATCCACACACACACAGCAGTTCCTAATCCTGACAGATTGCATACACACAGCTGGAGGATTGTGACTGATTACATGTACTATTTTAACAGCACAGACACACACACTAGTTGCTGAGTCTTGTTTACGGTTTATGTGACATTACAACACGTTTTCTTTGTCTTGCTTTGCTGTGTTTTGATCCTCGCCTTGTTTATTCCTGTCTGTGGCCTGCCTTCTGGTCATCTGCCTGTGTATTTGATTACAACTCGGGCCTGGATACGCACATCCTTTTTCCAGTGTCACTCCCCGTTACAAAACCACAATTCGAAAGCAATGTCTGATTTTCATTAGTTTGTTTTCATTAAATTTTGAATAATTATTACATTTTTTTAGTCTTAATAACTGATTTCTGTTATCTTTGCCATAATAACAGAACATGATATTTTACTAGATATTTTTCAGGATACTAGTATTCAGCTTAAAGTGACATTAAAAGGCTTAACTAGATTAACTAGGCAAGTAAGGGTAATTAGGCAAATCATTTGTACAAGTGGTTGGTTCTGTAGACAATTGAAAAATATCAAATATTACTTAAGGGGGCTAATAATATTGACCTTAAAGTATTTTTAAAAACATTAAAAACTGCTTTAATTCTAGCCGAAATAAAACAAATAAGACTTTTTCTAGAAGAAATAATATTATGGGAAATACTGTTTTTAAATGTCTTCCTTTAATAATTTTACCTTTAACTGTATATGCCAAAAAAATGTGTGACATTACCTCCTTTCAGACTCTTCTGCCATCTTGAGCGCAATCATCTCAGCCTCCAGCATCTTCTGCTCCATCAGTCTCTTCTCCTCCTCAGAGCGAATGGCTGTCACCTTTATATAGAGAGCCATTCAGTGCAGGATCAGTCCTCAATGCTCCCAAATGATCTTCTATGAGCAGCCGGTGTAAATAAATGCACACTAACCTTAATACGCTGCATCTCCTGTTCAGCCTCAGCCGCTTTCTGAGCCAAAAGCTTGGCCTCCTCCTCAGCGATTTGTGCCTTTTCCGCCAACAAATCTGCCGTCTCCTCTGAACGCAACTGAGAAGAGATAAAACGCATGCTTTACAATGCAAATTGGTTATTTTGGTTCATCTGATGCTGTGGTTTTGAACAGCGACATTAGATTTTAAAGTTCAGAATACTGTGGCAATACAGCATTTTTTAATAATGCAAGCCATCTGAATTTTTCTATGTAGCTTAAGCATTTCTACAGCATTTTTGAGACAGACCAAAAAAAAAACTGTTACATAAAGCTAACGTCATTTGCACTACAGAAAACATGTCACTAGGTCGGCCTTTTCTTCCTAAATATATCTCTCCAAACATATCTACTTTCAGAAAGGAATGTGGAAAAAAATACCTCATACATAAATATTTCAGAAAGCAAGAGAAGGAGAAGTCAGGACTGGCAAGGATATGAAACTCTCTGATTAATAATAATAAGACCTCTGCTAGTCTGAGCTCTGGAAGAAAATTATATGAATTAGCGCTATGCTGAGCACAGAAACTGAACCCTTTGGGAGAAACACACATATCAGTGGGGCGCACACTGATAGCAGTTCAAAAGCCCTGATGGCAAATTTCTTTTGTTTACAAGAGCCAAAACACCCTCAGAATGTGATCTGAACACTGCGTCTAATAATATCATGTGGAAGGGAAGAGATAAAACAGAAATATCGCCTTATACTGTGTATAAATATAAATATATGTGTTCGGTGATGATGATGACGGGTGTGTGTGCACTCGGAGGAGATGCGTGTCTGTGGTCCTTTACTGACTCGATGATTGCAGAGACCAGTGTCTAACAGCCATGTGTGTATGGCTTATCTTGTCGCAAAATGCATATATATGGCTGTAAATCGGCACTAGTGGGAGGCATGCATAGGCTTGAGGCTGCAGGGCGAGGGCCTTAGTGTCCCACCACTGACGATAAACAGCCGTATCGCACTGCTGCTCGTCTGATATTGCGTTTATACAACAGTTTGACGGCACAATCGTGTATATAAAAAAAATCTTTTTTTATGAGGAACTACTTTCTTACACAATTTAGTCAAAACAGTAGAAATTGTTACTAATTCACCAATGTCACTTTAGAGCTAGTGTTTGAATGACTCTCTAGCGTAATGTCTAGAGTGATGATAAAGCAGGTGATTTTTGCTCACATTTTAAGATTATAAGGCTGAACGGCATGAAATGCCATCAGTCTAGACTAGAGATTTCCCAGAATTTCTCAGTTGCAATCAGGAGATCACAACAATTAACCCCAAAAAAGCCAAAGCAAAGCAAACACTACCAGACGGTTTATACACTACTGTGGTATAAATACAGCACTACAAAATATAAGAGAGATCAACTTAGAATATCACTTACCTGTTTTATAATTGTAATTATATTGTATTTAATACAATTTTTTACTTTTAGAATTATTATTACTATAGTTTTGACATATTGCTACAGGTTAATTATGACTGGTTAATCCAATAAAACAAAATTTTACATCTAATATAGCTCGTACAGAACATACATTAGGATAAAAGTAAAGATTTAAATCTTCCTTACAACCTTATCAAAATATCATGTGGAAGTGAAGAGATAAAACAGAAATATAGGCTTATACTATGTATAAATATATGTGTTCGGTGATGATGATGACGGGTGTGTGTGCACTCGGAGGAGATGCGTGTCAGTGGTCCTTTACTGACTCGATGGGTGCAGAGAACAGTGTCTAACAGCCATGTGTGTATGGCTTATCTTGTCGCAAAATGCATATATATGGCTGTAAATCGGCACTAGTGGGAGGCATGCATAGGCTTGAGGCTGCAGGGCAAGGGCCTTAGTGTTCCACCACTGACGATAAACAGCCTTATCGCACTGCTGCTCGTCTGATATTGCGTTTATACAACAGTTTGACGGCACAATCATGTATATAAAAAAGAAAATCAATCTTTTTGTGAGAGGAACTACTTTCTTACACAATTTATTCACATCTGCAGCTGACTGTCAAAACAGCAGAAATCGTTACTAATTCACCAATGTCACTTTAGAGCTAGTGTTTGAATGATTCTATAGCGTAATGTCTAGAGCAATGATAAAGCAGGTGATTTTTGCTCACATTTTAAGATTATAAGGCTGAACGGCATAAAACGCCATCAGTCCAGACTAGAGATATCCCAGAATTTCTCAGTTGCAATCAGGATATCACAACAATTAACCCCCAAAGCAAAGCAAACACTACCAGCCGGTTTATACACTACTATGGTATAAATACAGCACTACAAAATACAAGAGAGATCAACTTAGAATATCACTTACCTGTTTTATAATTGTATTAATATTGTATTTAATACATTTTTTTACTTTTAGAACTATTTTTACTATAGTTTTGACATATTGCTACAGGTTTATTATGACTGGTTAATCCAATAAAACAATATGTTACATCTAATTTAGCTGGTACAGAACATACATTAGGATAAAAATCTTAAGCTTAAAATCTTCCTTACAACCTTATCACTCTTTAAAAAAACCAGTATGTGGCTCATTCAGCATGGGTCCAGTAGTCCACATACTAAAGTGCTAGAACTGATCGACCTGTGAAAGTATATTTAATGCAGTTTCTCACCAGTGCTTCATTGGCCAAGTGAGCTTCGTCCTGTAACTGAATGAGTCTCCTCTGGAGTTCATCACGCGCTCTCTCTGCATCCTCACGCAACTGTTTCTCTCTCTCTAGCCGCTGCCGCTCCATCTGCAGAGAGGTGCAAAAAGCACATCCGGATTTCACCACGATTGCACTGCTGCTAAATGGCTTTAGTGGATCAAAAATCCAGCACTTGGTTAAAGGTGCCTTAAGGTGCAACAGAAAAAAATAAATAAAAAAAATAAATGCAAGATTTACTAGCGAGGAGACAATATTCAACACTTTTCAAGCTCTTTAAAGCAGTATGATGTTTTCTAAAACTGCAATCATTTGTAGCATTTTTCAACACTAAAACATAAGCTCTATTGACTATTGATGATTAAAAAAACAACAACAAAAAAACACTATCATTCAACAAAATATTTTTAATAGCAGAATTTTTTGTTTGTTTTCTTTTACAGATTATTGCCGTAAAATGTTACACTCTATAAGAGGACTCGAATAAATGTTATTTTACTTCTATTTGTACTAATTCTATGCAGTAAAGGACATGCAAACATCGCAAAATCATTTGCTAATATATAAATGAAAAATAGTGTTTATACATTATTTATAATTTTATTATAATTATAATACATAATTTTAAATATTAGCAAAGTATTTGCCAATATATGAATAAAAAATGTATTTTATTCAACTGAGAAAAAATTTATTAAAAATAAAAAATATGAATAAAAAAAATGTAAAAAAAGACACAAAATGCCAAACTATTTAGTTTTTTTTTTTTTTAATCAACTTGATATTTTACATTTATTGTAATGAATTAAGGCGACGCAGTGGCACAGTAGTTAGTGCTGTCACCACACAGCAAGACGGTCGCTGGGTCTAGCCTCGGCTCAGTTGGTGTTTCTGTGTGGAGTTTGCATGTTCTCCCTGCGTTCGTGTGGGTTTCCTCCGGGTGCTTCGGTTTCCCCCACAGTTAAAAGACATGCGGTACAGGTGAACTGGGTGGATGTTTCCCAGAGATGGGTTGCGGCTGGAAGGGCATCCACTGCATAAAAACGTGCTGGATAAGTTGGCGGTTTATTCCGCTGTGGCGACCCCGGATTAATAAAGGGACTAAGCCGACAAGAAAATGAATGAATGAATGTAATGAATTATTCAAACACTGCTAATATTTAGCTATAAACTCTACTCATTGTGATCATGTCATTTTTGGTTTTACCATTCAGCAACAGCTTCCAGTTTTCTCCCGGACAGCATAAACGTGTGTTTGGTGATGATGACAATAAAATGCAGCTAAAAGTCCTACACAATGCTAATAGTCTGATTACGGCGTTTACATGCCTGTACTGCACTTTAATGTGACTGAAATAGAAATACTCCACATATCTTACTTTTTGTGTTTTGTGATTTGTGTTTATGATGATTAAGGCTTTAAGCATCTGAAGTGCTATCCCATCGCATTCTATGAGCCATGGTTAATGTGTGGCTGCAGTTGTAGCAGCCTTTGCTTTTGGACTCAACAACCTTTGAACTCCAGTGAAAAGAACTATTATGTCACACTCAGCTGCACAAGCAAATGAGTGACGCGCAACTCTGAGGCCAGCCTGGGATCTTAGGTGTGTGCAAAGCACTTGATGTGCAGTTCAAATCCAATCCTGCCTCCAATCTTCAGTGCTAAATTCACCCTCACGCTCCATTATAACATCACAATCCACGAGAAAACTCTTCACCTCGACGAGAAATATCATCATGATTTAGTCTTACTCCATTTTGTATCGAGTTAGTTTTGTTTATTATTTAATCAAAAATATTTAGTTTTAGGGAAAAAATAAGCACATAGTAATTAAAAAATAAAAAATTTAACATTTAATAAAAAAAATGATAAAAAATTATTGCAGTAATAATAAAATGTTTTAAATTGCAAAAAAAACTATTGTCCTATTATGCAGTTACCACAATTTTCAATGCACACTCATTACTTTTGCTGTCTGTTCTGCTGTCATTTATGACACAGTTTTGAACCCATGTATGCTGGAGTTAATTCACTCATTCATTCATTTTCTTGTCAGCTTTGTCCCTTCATTAATCTGGGGTTGCCACAGCGGAATGAACCGCCAACCCGCTGGAGTTAATTTTGTGTCATTATTATTCAAACAAACATACGTAGTTTTATTTTAAAATTAGGTACATTGTAATAAAAAAAACAAACGATTAAAAAAACATTTAATATATCATTGATAAAACAAAAATGATAAATAAACTAATGCTATTTCATGCAGTTAGCACCACATTTTTCATTGTGCATTCATTCATTTTGCTTTCTTGAAAAGTTTTGAAGGCTGCAGCTCAGTGGGCGGTATCTTCCCTCAGCATGAAAGGCCTTTTTCTATTGGTCAGTCTTGATTGAGATTACAGGTTGGCCACGCCCACTACATTTTCACACAATTGGAAAAGAGGCCTATCTATAAGAGTCCACCCTGCTACCCTGCAAAGGTAACTCATTTCAGCTGCTTGTATCCGAGATTTTGTCCTTTTGGTCATGAGCTTCATAGGTGAGAGTAGGAACGTAGATTGACCAGTAAATCGAGAGCTTTGCCTTTCAGCTCAGCTCCTTCTTTACCATAACAGACAATTACATCGACCGTATTACTGCTGCCACTGCACCGATCCGCGTGTCAATCTCACGTTCCATCCTTCCCTCACTCGTAAACAAAAGCGCAAGATACTTAAACTCCTCCACCTCCAACTGGGAGATAATTATTTAAAAAAAAAAGAGTAATAATAACAATAATCTACTCTAATATTGCTGGATTGTTTTAATCAGCATGGGATCAAATTTGGACAAAAATCAACAGTTGGGTTAAAAATGCACTATTTTCACTAAAGAAATGAATGTTTTTTTTAGCAAGTATGAAATAAAAGTACCAAACGTTAGATGAAAGACTTTTACAATGTATCAAAAGATTTCTTTTTCAAATGAACGCTGTTCTTTTGAACATACAATTCCTTAAAGTGTTATTAAGGGGAAAAAACATGAATAATAACAGCAATAAATGCAGACTTGAACATTAGAGGTTTCTTTCAAAAAGCACATTTACTGAAAACATTTATATTTAGTGAACATTATTTACCTACAAAGAAAGCAATCATGAAAAACTAATATGGATGCTTTTTTTCCTACACTATATTGATAATTTGCCATCTAGAACTAGCTAGACTGTCAACAGAAAAAAAAGTAATTATTAATTCTCTCTTTTAAGCTGTCTGCTTATCTTCAGTGCTCTTGTCAGATCATTTTAATGTTTCTCAATTTGCTTTTATATTTTACTTCTGTCAACTTTCTTTGCTTGCTTTTCTTTTTATCCTGTAAGACAGAAACTCATTGAAAACCAGAGCCCATAAAATAGTGTTTTATTTGATTTGTTATTTCTCTCTCTCTCTCTCTCTTTAGCAGTTTATCATGCAATCACTTTCTTACAGACCTGTTTGCGAGCTTTCTCTTCTCTAGCCTGAGTCTTCATCTGCTGGACCTCCAATGAATCAACCCTGCGTCTCCTCATGAAGAGATCATGGTTCCCGATGCACAGCTGGAGAATCTGGAAACATGCAAAATGCCCTGTGTAAAAACTAATTTAAGCGTAAATAGAGACAATTCACAACATCAGTATATGTGTCACTTTTACAGTCACTTTCTCCAGTTTAGCAGTTTATTTTTTTTAACGCGTTAAATATTTTAAATTAAATTGCAAGTGTTAACGCACTCATTTTGACAGCACTAATATATATCTCTCTCTTTATCGCTCTCTCTCTCAATTTAATTCAGTTCAATTTAATAGTAGTAGTAGCAAAAAAAAAAAGATATTTATATATAATCATTAAATAAAATATCAACAATACATCATATTATTCAATTTATCACATTAATATTCAATATATTATATTATTATTCAATATTATTTATTCATATTGTATATTATTTAACTGTACATTTTTAGGATAAAACAGTAATAAAAACAATAATATTCAGTATATTTACAATTTATTTCTCTCTCTCTCTCTCTCTCTTTATATATATATATATATATATATATATATATATATATATATATATATATATATATATATATATATATATATATATATATATATATATATATATATATACATATAGGAGCTGTGAACCTACACTGGTCTCACGGTTCGATTACAATTATCATGCCATCGATTCGGTTCAATTCGATATCTCGGTGCATCACGGTGCATTGACGGTGCTTTTCATACACAGATTTATATTTTCTTCACAGCACCAATTCTTGTATTAAAATGTATGAATATTTATATTTATATACTTTTTGTAATACAATTTTTCTCATTTAATACAAGCAGTCAGATATATAAACTGTACATTTAAACAACACAAGCATTTAAAGCAATTAATACAAACAAATATAAATATCCCGCTCACTTTCTAATCCTTGTCTAGTTCTCTTACACCCGTTTGATTGGTCGGCTCTTGCATGCTGAAGCGTTGTAAATACTCACGATCGCCTCCCTCACGACAGAGCGTATATGAGATAAATAACGTCAGAACACTAACCGGTTATGATAATTACTGAACCGATACCGAATTGTCCGCGTCTGCATGGCGGTGCATGAAAGAAAGAATTCATTTTGACACCCCTAATATATATATATATATATATATATATATATATATATATATATATATATATATATATATGTGTGTGTGTGTGTGTGTGTGTGTGTGTTCAATCGGAAAAAACGTTGCTTCTTTCCCCAAACTTTTAAAAAATAACATATTTTAGAGCAGCAATTCCAATATGGTGATATCGTAATATTTTTATTCAAGGTTATTAAACCATCAGAATTCTATACCAGCCCTAAATGTAATATTTTAAATAGTTGTATCTCTTTAAAGTAACTGTAAAAAAAAAATAAAAAAAATAAAAATAAATAAAAATAAAAAAAACAACCTTACTGAAAACACAAGGTTTTAGTTTGCTATGAATTATGTCTCTTTTCAGGGTCAAAACAAAACCCTGTTATGAAGGTTAACCACCAAGGTACATCACAGTGGCTTAGTAAGACCATTTCAAAATTGATCACAGCATTACATCACTTCATACCCCCCCCCCCCCCCCCCCAAAACAGAATTAAAAAAACAAACAAAAAAAAAAAAAACTCACCAGTTTATTTACTCTGAGCTTTGAAGAGTTGAATTTGAAGACATCTGCTCTCTTATCCACAGGTTTAATTGCAAACTACAGAAAAAAAGACACCATTAATCCCCTATTAGCATAAAGCAGGGGGTGTAAAAATGTAGAATTGTCCATTCAATGAGCACCTCTTTATCGCTGTAGGAGATGTTTCGGATCTCATTCCATGGAAAGGAGATTTTGGGCGTCAGTCTGTTATCCAGGTCATAAATGTGGAGGCCCAAAGCGTCAACACCAAGCAGAAGGCTGGTTCCCTTTTTATTCTTAAAGATATTTAAAAAAAGACCAATTTATTTTGCAATCATGAGAAAATTACCATGGCTATTAACAATGAAACAACATCAGACGAACATTTCAAGAAGGTTTTGTAACACTTATGAAAATGGTGTTCATAAGACAGTTATGACACTTTTATAACCATGACATGATGTACTGTATTTCTTGAATATTAAGGGAATTTTTGACAACTGTCATAGTCATTAGCTCAAAAATGTAATTTTAAATGTAAAGATGACATTAGCTGCACTTCCATCCACCTATTTTTATGCACTTTTGGAATATTGCATAAATAATCTCTGTAAGAAGTACATAAAATTTACATAAATTTGGAAATATGTATAAAACAATATGCGCACAACTGAGTAGGATAACCTTTTAATTCGATAAGAGAAAGATGTGCTCCTAGCCTCAATTTTTGCTTGTAGACAATTTAAAATTTTACATAGACAATGTTTATTACACCTGAGGTTAGATATAAAATTAATCCAGGTCTGTTTGAGCAGTGTGTTAAATGTAAATCAGACAGTGGATCTTTCTATCATTGTATGTGTAGTTGTCCTCTTACAAAGCAGTTCTGCGACTTGATTAGGCGGCAGCTTAATGCCATCTTTAAATGTACATTTCGATTAGGAGCAAGGAATTGCTAACAGAGTCTCGATGATATACCTTAACATTTCCTGAGACCCTTTTTTTTGATAATCCAGGAACCTCTAGGTCGCTAAGACTAAAATCCTGTCTGTTAGACTCAGCCTGGGCAAAAAGATTGTGAGCAATCTGCCTTTTTGTAAAATAATTTTGTATTTATTTCCTTTATTATTATTTTATTTGTTTGTTTATTTATTATTACAAATGAACTATTTATTATTATTATTGTTATTATAATTTTTCATGTGGGGGTCAGGATTCAAATTACATGAATGATTATCTTATTACTCGATGTTAATTTCGGACATGTTTTTGCACTAAAAATATATTTTTAAAAAAAGAAGGAAAAAGTGTGCATAAACTACGATGGAAGTACATTTACCATAAATCCCAGCATGCATATCAAAAAAAGTAATGTGATTTTGCTTCAATAGATCATGTAGTGACAAAATTGGTGGAAAGTTTTATCAGGAAGTAACGGTTTTGTTCTCTTGGACTCGTTGGATGGAAGCGGTTCTTTATTTGCAAAGGTTTCATACAATATTCCAATTTTACACAATTTAATTTTAATTCGCATCTTTAGATGGAAACATGGCTATTGTTTGAAAATGCCTTTATGACAACTTGACAAATGAATAAAACCTGTCTTTATCTTAATCTGTCATAAATCTGTCATAAACATTATTGTCACGGGCCATTATAATTGTCACGAACTTTAGAAAATATCATTAATATTTTTCTTGATCTCAGCTACAGTGATACAAATTTAATTTGTTAATGTCATTAATTGCCATTAAATATTTGTTTATTATATTATTAATGAGTTTATGTATTTATAATTAGTTATATTGTCTTGATAATGTCAAGTTGCCATGACAAAGATGTATTTGTTTATGTCACCTTTGCATTTAAAATGACATGAGCTAATGACACTTAATGACAGTTGTAATAAGCATGTAAAAATCTCAAGTGTAACATCATCAACCCAGACTCATTCTTAAAATGTGTCCCTACATACATTTCTGGAGAGCGCCAAATACATCCCAGGAGGTACGTTTATTTTTTTATTTTTTGCAGTTTTAGTTTTCATAAATCCACTAGAGGCCGCTGTTTTTGCTATTTAGGATCTCTAATTTCTCCTGCTCTCTTCGCGTAAATCCATCAGAGGCCGCTGTCAACTGACTGATTGATTCTCCCACTTTCCTTCTTTCCTAAACTCATATGATAGTGCTTTTAAAAGCTCCGATTGACCAGCGCCCACCAACTTCCCTAAAACCAACCGATAGTGTTTTGAAAAGCAATCCAGAAAAAAAAGCACTTGAGGCAGCATGATTTTTACCACAATTTCAGATTTTACCACATTCTCAACCTGTTATTTAGTTGTCTATTATATTTGTTGCATTTTATTTTTGTCTCACCTGCTTTCTGTAATCATTCTTCGCAAGACTCTAAACCTGTCACCAAAGTCAACTCTGCTCCACCTCACAAGTCCACCGACGTATATGGCGAGCCACTGGACACACTGGTAACAGCGGGGAAAGCAGTCCATACGGAGGTAAGCGGTCAGCTGTTAAGCGTGAAAAAGAACTGCGTCATACCGCCCCCGTAGCGTTCGTTTCAAAGACAAAATGCAGCCATATGTTCTTTTGGCTACATAATTCACAATCTTCAGAAATGTATATAGGGGTACATATCCAGAATGAGCCTATGTTGAACATCATGGTCAAAAAGGTTTCATGAGAGTCTTATAAACACACCCTCTTCAAGTAAAGTGTTACCGAAAGTTCCAAACAGGTTAGACGGTGATTATGCAACCAATAATAAAAGGGTTGTTTATTACACACAATAATACAGGAACTGCACACAATAATAAAAGTGTCTGGCTCTAAAATCTTTGGTTGTCGAGAGATGTATCTAGGATTGTTACTTAGTACAGCAGCGGAGGCATTTCTTACCCTAATGGAAAAGTAATTGACCCCATACATCTCCAGATCCTGAGCTATTTTTAAATACTCCATCTCTGCTTCATCTCTGCAGCACACAATAAACAAAAACGTGGGAGAGAGGCAGAGAGAGAGAGAAGAAGAAAAAATAAAGGAGAGAGGATAAATGATTAGACACAAAATAAAATCTATTCCACCGCAGGGCTTTAATGAGACTTGACAAACTTGGAGTGCAGAATCCAGAGGTCATACAGTGTGTCTTACTGTAAGTGTTTGTGGCTATGAAAGCAAACACACATGAGATCGCTGTAAACTCACCCATTAAAAATAGCATACTAAAAGCATACTTTTTATACCACCTTCACAAGTCTACAAGCAACAAGACTTGTTAAAAAACACAAACAGAGAGCAGGCAGTGCAAACTTTTCATGTTTTTAAAGACAGCAGGAGCACGACTGAATGCAAAGGTATCACTAGGCTTTTTGAGAGCATTGTGGTTATTTTTTGAGATTCAACTTTTTTTATTGTTCAACAGCCAAGAACAAAGAACACACTTCACCCTACACTACATATGATACATGTTACATATTCAGCCACATACACCAAGAAAATTCAACAAAGAATAACAATGTATAGCAAACATATATGGAAATTAAGGTTGTGGTACCTTTGAATGTACATACTCAGTTATCCTAATTTGAAATGTTGCCAAAGATTATCCCAATTTCTATGTACTTCTCCCTCATTGTTCAATCTCCCCAGCATACACTCATATGATGCAATTTCAATCATCCCATTAATCCACTCCTTCATTTCTGGCATTCTGGGACACTTCCAGTTACGTAGTATCATCTTAGCCGCTGTAATGCATCCAATCTTGAGAAGAATAAAGGATATTTTACCTATATTAGTTATCACTAATTTATCACTAAGAATGCATAGCCGTGGCTCTACAAGTAACTCACAGCCTAGCCAATCCTCCATTATTCTTAAAATTTTACACCAGAATGGGTAAACTAGACAACATTCCCAGATCATGTGTAAATAAGTACCCTCTTCTTTATTGCATTTCCAACACTGATTATTTCCAGCTAGTCTCATCCTATAGAGTTTGTGGTTATTTTTTGTTGGTTATTTGAGTATGGTTTTAGTTTGAATTTGTATTTTTATTGTCAGAGGCCTTTCAAATCTGTCTAAGGCAGGGCCTTTAAAACCTTAAGACACCACATCCCAAAGGTGCTCTATTGCAGACTAGTGGGTTGCACCGTGAGGAAAAGTGGGTCGCGCAAAGTCACTTAGCTGCAAGTATATTTACATTACAGTGAATCAATACCAGTACGATAATGAGCGAACGACTCTTTAGAGATGATTCTTTTTTTTTTTTATGAATAATTTAAGTTAAATCACATGAGCTGAAGCAGTCTGAATCTGCGTTCATTGAATGAACTGAGTTCGATTCTCTTGTGTTGAACCGTCTCGTATCTATGTCTGTAACATCCAGCATTCAAGCCACAAAGCGTTTGGTAAAATAGAAATTTTTTTAAAACTAAAGGCATCGCAAACTACTAATACGCCCTCAGATCAAACCAAATCTAAAAATTAGCCACACAGAAAATATGATCAGTCCTACCTCGATCGGAAGTCCTGCAGTGTCTTTTATGCTTAGAAAAGCTTGCAAGTGCTAGCATGAAACCATCAAATCTTAAACGACATCTGACAACAAAACATTCTGCATATTTCAACAAAGGTCGATCATATTTTCTTCTAAAAAAAAGAAGAGTATCTTCATCAACAAAAAATGATCACAGGCACAGCCAGCGTCCCACAAAAAGCACTTCGAGCCTCATTTTTAGCTGCAGAGGAGCTGATAGACGTGGCTTTAGACAGGAGCCTTCAACTTCTTTTCAGACAGTCAAAAAAAATCTTGGACAATTCTGGGTGTTTTTTGCCAAGGAATACCCCAACCGAGGACCTGCTGCTCTTAAAGTTTTAGTGCCCTTTTATACCGCTTACCTACAGCCATCAGAAGACATGCATGTCAGTCTGTCCAGAATAACTTCTAGATTAGGTATGTTGTGTTCTAAGAAGCAGGCACACCCTTCTCACTAATACATTTCCTTTGCTTTCTTTTAAGCTTTTCAGTTCTTAAAATGTATGTGTCTTTGTAAATAAGTATAACTCAGTACTGTTATTCCTCTTACAATCTTAGAATCTTAACACAACTGTGTTTACACAAGCCTTTTAGTATTGCACTGTAAATTTATTCTTCTTAAAACTTATTATTCATTTATTCATATATATTACATTTATTCTTAAAAAAAACTGCTCTGTAAATGAGTTTTTTTATGTTTTGTTTTTTTTTTTACCCATTTTTTCATATTAAAATATTATGGTGGGTCTGGGGATTGACTTACTTGCCTAGGTGGGTCCTAGAATGAAAAATTTTGAGAACCCCTGCTCTATTGGATTGAAATCTGGTGACTGTTGTGCCATTTGAATACCGTGAACTCATTGTCATGTTCAAGAAACCAGTCTGAGAAGATTCCGCTTTGTGACAAGGGGCGTTATCCTGCTAAAAGCAGCAATCAGAAGATGGGTACACTGTGGTCATAAAGGGATGGACTTAGTCAGCAACAATACTCAGGTAGGCTGTGACGTTGGTATGATGCTCAACTGGTACTAATGGGTCCAAAGTGTGCCAAAAAAAAATCCCCCACACCATTACATCACCAATACCAGCCTGAACCATTGATACAAGGAAGGGTGGATCCATGCTTTTTATGTTGTTGATGCCAAATTCTGCACTACCATCTGAAAGTCGCAGCAGAAATCGAGACTCGTCAAACCAGGCAACGTTTTCCCAATATTCTATAGTTCATTTTTGGTGAGCCTGTGCAAAATGTAGCCTCAGTTTCCTGTTCTTAGCTGACACGAGTGGCACCCGGTGTGGTCTTCTGCTGCTGTAGCACATCCGCCTCAAGATTGTACGTGTTGTGTGTTCAGAGATGCTCTTCTGCAGACTTCGGTTGTAATGAGTGGTTATTTGAGTTACTGTTGCCTTTCTATCAGCTTGAACCAGTCTGGCCATTCTTCTCTGACCTCTGGTGTTAACAAGGCATTTGCTCACACAGAACTGCTGCTCACTGGATATTTTATTTCTTTTTGGACCATTCTCTGTAATCCCTAGAGATGGTTGTAAATCAGCAGTTTATGAAATACCCAGACCT